TTTTTTTTTTTTTTTTTTTTTTTGTTGCTGGCCAGTATGGGGATTCAAACCCTTGACCTCAGTCTTATAACATTGGGTGATTCTTATGGTCAGACAAGTTTGGGAAACTGCCAACGTCTACAGTATTTCAAAAGCGGTGTGTGTGTGTGTGTGTGTGTGTGTGTGTGTGTGTGCACGCGCGCCAAGGATTTTAAAGTTCAGAAAACATCATCAAATATTCCACGTTGGCATTGTTAAACATTTCTTAATGAAATGATCCACTATTTGTGTAGGGTTGTATAGTTAGAGAGGGCTTTCCCATGTATTATATCGTTTGATCCTAATAACAATCCTAGGAGGGCAGTGGTGATTGTGCTCACCCCAGATCATACATGGGAGACGGGCTCAGCGTGTGGCGGGCGGGTGGATCATGAACAGGATCCGTTGCCCTGTGGGGCAAACCCATCATCAACTCAGAGCCCACCGCTTTTCCTCTTTTTCCCCACACTTCAGTCATCACATTGATGACTGTTTCTAACAATCAGATTCTTTGCGTGTCTGCACCTTTCTCACCCTGCTCCCTCTGCCTGGCGTGCCCTTCCTGGCCCTGCCTGCAGACTCACCCTCACTTATTAAGGTGCTGTCCATGAAGCTTTTCTGGATACACACCTCTCCTCCAACCTCCTCCCCAGGCAGAGCTAGTTGCTCTTTCAGCTGTGTTTCTGTCACACTTTATAGATCCTTCTGTTGTATGTTGGGTCTTATTTAACGTAGGTGAGTTCCATACTAAAAGCTCAGTAACAGTCACTCTTTTCCATCCTAACCCACCATCACACCACTTACTTTAAACAGGCATTGGATGTAATCATGTTTAAATAGTCAGTGCTGTGGACTAAAGCTTTGGGAAGCATTTGCGAATGATTTCAAGGGTTTTCCAAACATTGACAAAGAAGTGTTCAGGTGGTCAGAAACATGGCCTTTAATATCCTCTAGGAATGGAATTGTTTGAGGCTACCATGGAACATTGTCTTATAAGAAGTAGAGGAAGGGTAGGGGACTGTGTTAATCTGCTCAGGCTGCCATAACAAAACCACAGACTGGATGGTTTAAACAATAGAAATGTGTTTTCTCACAGTTCTGGAGGCTAGAAGTCCAAGATCAAGGGTCATCAGGGTTGGTTTCCAGTGAGATCTCTCTTCCTGGCTTGCAGGGGCCACTTCTCACTGTGTCCTCACATGGCCTTTCCTCTGTGTGCAGGCTGAGAGAATGTGAGAGCTGTGGTGTGTCTTCCCCTTTTTATAAGGACACCAGTCTTATTGGATTACGGACCCATCCTTATGAAATCTTTAACCTTAGTTAGTCCTCAAAGGCCTTATCTCCAAACACAGTCACGTTGGGGGTTAGGGCTTCACCATATGAATTTGGGGGAGACACATTTCAGTCTGTTAACGGGGACTATATACACAAAACCACATACTTGCTAGTTTCCTTGACAGAGAATTTAAGGGCCTATCAAGGACAATTTCAACTATGAGTGATTTTCATGTTACACTAACTTTAGTTCATAGCCCCAGGTTAGATGTAAATGTCTCCCCCACTAGACTCTAGTGAGGATAGGTCTGAGTCTTATTCATCTTTGCAATCGATAGTTGTCGAATAAACTTTTAGGGGACAAATCCTTTTCTTTCCATCTGCATCTGAATGCAATCAAATGTATTCAATTATGGTTCTAATTCCCATTCTCTTGTGTTTACAGCCACCACTGGTCCAAGCGATCTTCAGCGGTGATCCAGAGGAGATACGGATGCTCATCCACAAAACTGAAGATGTGAATGCTCTGGTAAGAGATGCTGTGGTTTTGCTACCCAGGCCCTGTTAACCTGGGGCAAGCAAGGGCTGTTCACCTTTTCTGTGTCATGGACCACGATGTCTGGGCCTGGTAAAAGCTCTGGGCTGCTTCTCAGAACACTGTTTTTAAACCCATGAAATAAAATACATAGGGTTAGAAAGGAAATCAATTATTTTGAAGAGTTATCCAAATATTAAAAATCAAGTTTGTGATACAGTAACATATGTGCTTCTTTATCACCACATTCAGATAACAAGATACAACAGAAGATCTAATGACCATAGTTTAGAAAGAGTGATGAGCACGCTCAATATTTTGGATTTTTTTGCAACAACTCTAATGTGATATGAACATACTTGCAGTTTCTACTGGTGAGAGACTCAGATACTGCTGATAGTACTGTGGTTTGTTGCTTACATTCATAGTTGAAGGAAATGCTAAACTTCAATGAGAAGCCAGTGAAAATAAAGATGTAATAATATTCTTTTCCAAAGTGATGAACCCCTAGAACCCATGCCCTACAGCAGGGGTTGGCAACTTATGGTCTGTCACACATTTTTTCCATAGGCTGCCAGCTAAGAATGGTTTTTATTTTTTAAATGGTTGAAAAAAAGTCAAGAGAAGAATAATATCTTCTGACATGTGAAAATGGTATGAAATTCAAATTTTGGTGTTCATAAATAAAGTTTTGTTGGAACATGGCCACTTTCATTCATTCACATATTATCTGTGGCCGCTTTTGCACAGCAACAGCGGAGTTGAGTAGTTGTGGCAGAGACCATATGTGGCCTGGAAAGCCCAAAATACTTACTATCTGACCCTTTATAGAGAAAGTTTGCTGACCCCTGCCTCAGAGGGTCCATGAACCTGGAATTGATGGATGAACTAGGCATCCTGTGAGCTCTCTGAAATCACAGGTAACTCACAGATGTGCACACTTGTGCACGTATATGTTTTTCTCTGAAAAGAGTTGAGGCATTTCATCAAATTCCTGAAAGACTCTGTGACCCCAAAAGATTAAGAACCACTGGATCCGGAAGGTGTTTCAACAAATAAACCAACCAACTGCCGTAAAGAAAGATAAAAAAAGTTAGTCAATGATTTACCCTTTTGATAGTTTCCAAGACCTGGATTGAACAAGCAATTATGAGCAGTACAGGCTACTAATTCTCTTAATGTAATTCGATTACCAAGATACTCAAGTTTGTCCAGGGACAGGAATTCTCTTGAAAGTCTCTAGTGTTAAGTAGTAACAACAGAAAGAGTCAAATACATCTTCAGTGTGAATAAGAGGTTTGCCACAGGGAGATGGATTATGTTTTAGGTTGTATCTCTGTCTATCCGCTGGATGCTTTATTCACAAGGTGAATCATTTGGCGCAGCTGTTGTTCTGTGGCAGTGCAGGTTGAGGTGGCTTTTGAAAAAGCTTTTGGCAGCTTCTCCCCAGCTGGCACTGAACACAACAGGGCAATGTTTTGTGACATTTTTGCAAGGTAAGCACAGATGAGGCCAAGGACAGACTACTTGAGAAGGCAGCTGGGCACTTGTTCAGGGCCTGCCATGTGTGACCCACACTTCTGAGAGGAGGCCAGGCCAGCAGGGTCACTGTCCAGTGTTCTGACATCACTGGAATTCACCCAGACTGTTTTGTGGCTGTGGCCCAAGCCCAGGCAAGCCCAAGGCAACGTTACTATCTTTTCCTGATGGTCATGAGCAAACAAGACTTTGGTTCAGTCACACACACAAGAAAGATTGTACTGGCCTTGGTGTGCCCTTTATTTCTCCACCTCTCCATGTCTTTTGATGGGTCATGTGCTCTTTGATGTAAATCACCAGGATTAGCTGGTCCTGATATAGAAAGTAATATCATTCAGCTCGGCCTTTCTAACTTTATTTCCCACTACTAGTGTTCATGAAACCTATGCTTCAACCAACCAAATTACTTGACCCATTGGTATTTATTCTATTGTTTCACCATTTTCTCATTTCTCTCCTCCTTCAGTCCCATCTGCTCTTTCATACCTGTTGCTTCCTTCATTAAGTTGTTCTAATTCTCACTTCCTTTATGCTGTCTTCTCTACCTTCTCCCTGACCCAACCAAAAAAAGCCCTGTGCCTTCTCTTCAGCCCCCACAGCTCTTTGAATCTCACTGATCACTTTCAATTACTACTTGAGTTATTTATATCTGTCTTTTACTTCTGAGAAGCTATATGCGTGATGACATGGTCACTATCTCATTCATTCTCATTTCTTCAATCACTCAGGCCGGTCCTTGCAAACATGAGTGAGCAACTCAACCCCCCTTATCACTATGTTGAGCCAGTCAGTGGTGGCCTATATTTCATTTCTCCCAATGAGGAACTAATTGTTGAACAGAGGAAGCATCTGACTTAGTTAATGTCCCTCAGGTCTCAGTTGTAAGACTGGAAGTTCTCTTTGTAAGATTAAAAATCTGTAGATGGATTTGAGGAGTCACTGAAGGATCAGGAGGAGTACTCTGAGTCTTTCTGTGGTTCCTGGCTAGTGGCATGCTGGAAATGTGGGATGATCGTTTTATGCTCTGAGAAGTTCATTTAAGTTGACCCAGATGTGGCTGATATCTAGAAAGTCCCCATCTGACTGACCAAATTGAGCTCAAGGTGGAGAATAGCATCTGAATTCAAAACTTTAGAATGCAGGTCTGAAAACCAAAATTCGAACTCAGTAAAGGCATTCTGGGGATTATGTTGTGACAACATGTCATCAAGAGGACAATATTACTATGCCATGCTGGAACAGGGACAGAGACTAATTGGTACCTGTTAGTCGTGAGTGGTGAGGTTGGGGAGGGGACCATGCCATGTGAGGAGTGGCTGAAGAAACTGGTGATGTTTTAGACTTGGACAGGACAGGAGAATTGTCCTAAATAGTGCAAGTTAACAATGCCAAGTTAAAATGGAACTAGACTTTTCATTATTGTAAGCTACAAAAAATAATATTTCAGCTTAAAAGATAAGAAATCAGTTAATAGACAGAGCTGTCTAAAGAAATCATGAGTTGACTTGGTGGGTAATAATCTCCCTGAAAGACCACTGGACTGGAGGTTCTAAAGGTGACTATTAGTAGCACGTACAGGCCCATTCTCCTATCTTGTGCCCTTGGTTAACATCACTCATGGTTCGTGGTACATTTTTGATTCTTAGAGATCAAAATTTCTTCTCAGGATAGCACTATTAAATTGGGGTTGCCATGTGAATTGAAACCTCACAACCGTGCCTGGACTAGGTGATATTCAGAGTCTCTTACAACCATGACAGACTACATTTCCAAGATTTGTGAGTCCCACATGGCAGCAAACCTATCATGTTTATTTCTTTTTAAAAAAAGTATTGCAAACAGGGAGAAGCGCACACACGCACACATACATGCACATACGTACAGGCGCACACCCATTATCATACCAGATGAAATTAATAATGATTCCTCAATATCATGTAATACCCAGTGCATGCTTAATTTTATTTTGTTTCAATAGTTTCAAAAATATCTTTTTACAGTTGGGTTGTCCCCAAGTTGATTATTTTAATCCATCTGTTTTACACAACAAAATAATTTTGTCAAGCTGTTAATGTTTATTCTTTGGTCTAATGGTATTTGACCCAAGTCTATTGGTGCACGTTGCTTACCCTCTCCAATTCTGAGATGGGAAAGGATGATATGAGAATATAATGGAATAACTCTTGAGGTGAAAGCTAAGCTTATGTCGGCAGAGAACTTATAGTACACAAAAGGGAGAAAACCATTAAAGCAGCACTTCTTGACTACAGGAATTAATTCAATTGATCATGGTTGTCTGCTAGTCTGAAGATCCAAGTGAGAAAAAAGAAACTGGTATTGTATGATGAAGGGACTTTTTAAAGAAAATAAGGCAAATCAGCAATAGTAAGCTTGTGATTTGTGTATGCATGTGTGTGTGTTTATGTAGTGGTGTTACACTGTTTCTTTTAAAAATAGAATGTATATTTAAAATCCACCCAGGAGGCTCAGTATGTCTCTACCCAAAGAACTTGGAGTGACCAACTTAATATCTTCTCTAAATTTTTCTCAGCTTGATTCTATCATGTCAAATTCCCTAAAATTTTAGAAATACAAACTATGTAGCCCAGCTCTTTAAGCTTCTAGATTGTTGTGTATTTTTTCTCACCTACATGTATCCTACTTGATTTTTTTCTTTTATAGTAAAGATTTTGATATGGGAATAAAGACCTGAGAGATTTTGTCAGCTTAGAGAGTTGAGCACCCTCTAAATTATACCTAAATTAGAAACTGCTGGGGTAAGGAAGCTGCAGGCAGGGTGGCAGTCTCGGGTCCCATAAATGACAGAAGTGCACCGTCGTGGGGCCGATGAATCGCTTAGCGCTTGTCAAGTGCCATGCCACAGTGCAGGCGTGGTGTGGCTCAGACTTTTTAAAGTTTTTAAGAGAAAGTACAGGAAATCTCTAAATTGTTAAATGTTGGTTCCAAAAAATGATCCAACAATGCGCAGGCCAAAGAAAACACGTCTGTGGACCAAATCCAGCCTACAGGCCACCGTTTTGCTAATTGTGGATGGGAACTGCAAATATTCAGCAATGAAGCTTTCTCTGGCCACCTGCATCTGGAAAATGAACTCCGTGGTCCTACAGCCATGGACCTGGTGTTGTGGGGAGAGTGGTGGCCTGTGTTCTTCAAGCGCTGACAGCATTTCTGGCTCACTGATGGGTGTGGGCGGGTGGGGTGGCATAGACAGGGAAGCTGGTGGTCCCTTCACAGTTCTGGGCATGGTGCTTTTTGTCCTGAGGGTAGGTGCCCATCTCTCAGCACATGCCTGGCAATACTGTCCCATCTTCCTTTCCCCTATGTTGGACCCCTTCCCAGGATGTGGGGCTGTGGTTTGGAAGCCATGACCTGTGTCTTGTAGAGAATAAATCATGAATTCCTGCTCCATTCTGAGCAGGCTGCAGAGATGTGTC